CAATCCTCAGCTCACTTTAAACGCCAGGTGGGCACCGAAATGCCCGCCTACAAAGGGGTGCAATGAACAAACTTTGCTTCCTTACAACAGTAGTAGTGGACTTCTGGACCTAAGTCTATGCTTGAACAAAGTACACAGTAATTAATGAACCAGCAAAAACGATATCAGTTTGTTTTAGTGAGTAGGTTGGCCTTATTCACAGCTTTTGAAAATCACGCCCCATCAACTCCGTAGGGAAATAGGCCAGTCACTTTTAGTCCACACTTCCCTACTCCCCCGCCGTAAGACACAACATTCAGCGGGTGTGAGGGAATCTATGGATATTTGGACATTAATAACAACGCACTTAGACATGAGTGGTGCTTGATACTGAGAAACAAAAAGGTAGCTAATCTCCTACACCAAGGTCGCGGAACACCCTTTTTGGTCTGGTTCAAAAAAGATCAATATGACGTGTCATGATAATGAATGGCTTTAAACTTTACCGGCCAACTTAATTGCCCTCAGCGCAAAATAAATCATAGATGCTCCCTGCGACTGACATTTCGCTTCCCCATCTACTTCTGCATTGCAAAGTGGATAAGATGTCACCTTGTCAAGCTAATAGCAAACGGATTTACCATTAATTAACAGTCAGAGTGACAGGAATGGGAGAGAAGAAACTGAGTAGTGCTTGAGCGGAGATAGTCAATTTTTGGAGTTATTTTTGTGCCATTTTTAAAACCCTGTTCATTAATTAATTCGGCTTTTTCAATTTTGCCGTTCACATCTCCTTTTTAAATAAGTCTTTTGGTAAGCCCTTCAAAAGGATTATTAATTAGACCGACACTATGGAGGTATTCTGATGTAATTAAAAACGGAATCGTCAAATTTATCTGATTTGAATAATTCATGCAAAATATGAAAACATCTCTATACTGATTCCCTGAAAAAAATATTCCTTAGCTGCAGTGGACCAGGGACCTCATGAAACAATCCTTTTAGCATGCCAAGTATTATAGCTTTTTTAGATTTAAAAAAGGATGTAATAAAACAAGCACCTTTGGCTTCTTTTGACTGACGACTTTGATAAGAGAAGGCACACACCTTTGTGATTGTTTTGATAACTATACTTTGCACTTCACAAACACCTAAAATGTATTAATTATTCACTAACACGATACTACGCCACACTAAGAGGTAAACACATCCACCAACTTTTTAATAACTTCTTCTACAATAAAATGCTGAAATTCATTTGAAATAGTTTTATTTCAAATTAGGTCCCTATTAAATAGGGTGAATACTTTCCAAATAAGAGCAGCTTTAATGTCCTGCTAAGGTTATTTATTACGTCATCCTGCTTAAATCCCAAACGGGCAAATTTATTCACTCAAAATGAGTGAAACTATGAAGATTCAATGAAAACCGATCACTTTCAAATGAGAAAATTAGTCATTTTTTCTGTGCGTCGAATTTGCTTCTGCTTGCAAATACGTATGTGGAAGTTAGGACTCCTTACCCAGTCACTTTGGGTAGAGTCGTAACTTTGATTTGTTTGTTTATTTATCAGAGCTTAAATTGAATTTTCGAAAGTCAGTCAAAGCCTGACAGTTTTGACCTGGTAATTAGTGCTCAAGGAGTTAGGAGTGAGCAAATTAAACCTAAATCAGAAAATGGCTATCAGAAGCTATCAAAATGGCAAAAACTGACTTGGTCTTTGCCCAACTGTTTTCCCAGCAACTGAACCGACTTCATGTCCACCTTCTTCTTTCCAGCCTTTTCTTTCCTGCGTCGCTTGAAGATGCCCCGCTTGCAGATGCAGTAGAGAATGAGGAGAAGGAAGAGAATGAAACCCACCACCATCGCAATAACTGCTGACGGTGGTACTAAAAGTGTGGAAAATCGAATTGAATTGCCTCGATACTATTTCATTTTTCTCCTTTATATTAAGCCAAATAAGAGGATAATAATATACAATGCGATAAAACAAGTTTTTATATGAAATTGAGGCATTACTGTGCAAAAGTTAGAGGATTGCCTGATTTACTTGTGCAGGTGCGCAGTACATAATTCATACGTTGAAATACTCTCTAAACAGAACCGCTCTTTCTATGTATTACTCTTTGGAAAAATTACCTTCACCATACAAGTAATCATTTAGTTGGATGATTCATGTCCTTTAATCTATTACGATGATTTGACATTTTGTTTAGCTGCACCTTAAACGGCGCGGGCTATTTAGCCTCCAGTGGTCGAGACAGCCCTTCTTAACATTAATATTGGATCTTCCATTCCACTGCCAGCGACAACTTTAGAAGGAATTTGGGACTCTACGCGACCACTAAATAATAATCCAGCTATTTAAAAATGGCACTTGTCTAAATGTTCGAATGATGGCCATAAGTCTTCCGTTTGCTATGAATTCCGTCTCTAAGAAAAAACTCTGATTTCATTGAAAGGTGGTAAAGAAATAAAGCGAGCAACCTAATTGAATTTGCTTAGAGATCGAGAAAATTCACATAATCGCACCGTGAAGTTTCTTGGCCAAGTCATTAATGACAACCTTCACTTGCTCCTGAATTTTTGCATTTGAGTTCTGATTACTCGAAGTGGTGGTGGCTGGCGGTTGAAGTGGTGACGAAGCCTCGGCCGATGTTGGATAGGTCTCCCCAGCCTCTGCTGCGGGACCTTGAGTGCTCACGACTGGCATTGGTGAGGCCTATAATGTCACAAATACCGCTATTAGTTCGTTGGTTAGTTATTCTGAAATCCCTGCTAAATGTATTGGGGAAACACAATTGGTAAATTGTTGGTGGGCGTGGGTAAATACATAAGAAGGTATTAGTGTCAGATCATTAAATATGGAGAAGTCAAAGAGCCAGGGTATTTTCGACAAGTATGTAATCCCTTTCAAAATAGCCTAGCTCCCGTTTATATTATTGAGACTTGTTGCTGTTATACGTGATTTTCTAAGAATTTTCTTACTATTTTGAATCAGTCGTTGCAAAAAATATAGGTTGTCCACTTAAATTACCTTTCTAAAATTTTTTGAAAGGTCAGCCATTTCTTTTACTTGGCACAAAAATCAAATCATTTTTCATTTCTGGTAATGCTTAAGACAGAAAAAATACCGATTCTGTTTAGATTTTAGCAAAAATACCCAATATTTCAAAGAATTATCGCCAAATATGAAGATGGTTACCTTTATATTTGCTGTAATATTGTGACTATTTGTTGCGGCTGAAATGATCACTGCTTTTATTTTTCATTTCAAGTAAACTACTTTAGCACGTCATGAATGAAAACGTATTTAAGAATGAATTAATGGCATCCCTTATACAATTAAAAATGGTAAAGTGCTGCGAAAACTGAAAGCAATATCATGTGCATTGTTCAGTAGGGAGGAGAACCACTTACTCTGAAGTTTTTATCTCGATGGGCAGCCTACTTCAACAGGATATCTTCCGTAACTAAACACTTCCCCCAATTCTAACCCTGCGGACTCGATGCTTCAGTGACTAGGCGAAAAGACGCAAAAAGACCGTTTCACAGAGGAATTTCGCTCTCTACCCAGGCCCCACCAATCAGAGCGCGGCATTTGAGACACGCTGGTGAGGCGGAAGTCACTGTCGCACGCCCATTGGCTGTCCTGCGATCTATCGGTCGATGCGGATTCAGCTGATGCTCGCCAGCAATAGCTGAGCGCGTGGCTGGCCGAACAGTCGGAGGCACAGATTGTGCTAGCCATTTCTGCTGCTGCGTCGTTAAAATTAAACCTTTTGCCTGAATTTACGTCTTTAAAAGTACTGCTTCAATGGATCGGCTTTTCGATCCAAGCCGCCCCACAGTTGAGTATTATCACTTTCTGATTAGTTTTCTATCGTTTACTCTGTGAATTGTTAAGGAGGAGCATAATTTCGTTGCATTTTAGGTGGTTTTAGCACAAATTTTCTTGTGTTTTCTTAGTTATCATTGGCTAATCTGCGTGAAACTGGCAGAAAATATCCAAAGATCGGCTAATGGAGAGTTACAAATAAACGTAACAGACAAGTGATAAACAATAAAATGACATATAGATGATCGGGAGGAGGAAAAGGTGTATGGAATGTGAGAGTTGAGGACTGAAGCTGAGGAACACGTCACCTTTTAAGTGGGTGCAACATCATGCGAAATTTGTACACCTACCGCTTTAAGTCCGTAATGCAGCTGGTGAAAATTGTCAGTTTCCACAGCTTCCTAAATAATTTATGCCACTTGAGTTGTTACCAAAAGTAAAAAACGAAATTTGTGCTTTTATGAAGCAGAATAAAATAACCACTACCGTCACAGTACTTAATCCCCTCTCAATGTGATAAAAGGTTGCCGCTGGCTAAAAACCACAAAACTGGACTCTGGACACTCATTTTATCCCACTATTATATCCCATCCAACTACCTGCATTACTTCAAACCTCATCGTTGAGTGACAGGAAAAAAGGTTATCGTTAGCACCTAAAGAAACATTATTACAGAAAGGCGGAGGTGGAAAGATGAGGCAGTAGCTACCTTTCTCCTCCCTTTCTAAAGCACAAATACTCTAACATGTCAGTCACGCGACCGCCTAAGGGTTGAGACACAATTTTCGCATTTGGAGAAGGGATATTTCTTAAGATTGACTCTTGTTTACCTTTTCTGAAGAACAAACTTTCAAACACACCGCCTCGACGGTGATGTCCTCCAGCGCATTAAAAAATAGCACTGACGAATTCTGTTTCAAAGACGTGCGAGTATAGTCACCTAAGACTAAAGTGGCTAGTGTCTGCGAAGTGTGCGGGTGGTTTATTGCCCATCTTTTCTTCTAAAACCACAATTAGTGTGTCTACTCGCCCCGCAATTAGTGAAATACAAAATTTTTTTTTACAATATACGATGCACTTTGTAACTCACGTCAAAGAAGTAAAAAATGACTGATTGATAGCCTTTCTAACTTATCGTCATTGGTTAATGCATGTAGCATCCATCTGATTGGTATCTGGGTCATCCTTGAAGATGAGTCCAAAAATACCCTTGCTAGAGGATTTTATAGTAACAGAATTGTTGGTAGAATCACAAAAGACCACAAAGGTTCGCACGATGGACAAATAACATTAAAAATTGATCAAAGTGCCTTAGCCGCACTCTGATTGGTGGACAGAACCTGTGACCTAAAAAACCTTTGGGGTCAACCAGTAGGCAGAAAAACATTTTAAATTTGTGTATATTGTTGTATACTATAGTTTTACCTTAAAACTCTGATTATTCAACAACCATTTTTTTTGCCTAATCGGCCCCTTAAGCGCCTGCCTTACTATTGCGGAAATATTCTAATTATGGAGGAATTAATTAAGCCAACCGGAAGCTATTATGTATGACAAGTAGCTCATTTATGGCGAAGAATGCATAAACTCATGGACAGCTTAGTTATCTTTCACATGAAGAGACAGAGTATGATTTTATAGTGTCGAAAATCTGCAAGCATATGCGCAACTTTTTCTACCATTTCTTGTAAGTTAACTCTTGATATTCTATTTTGTTAGGAAGAATCCCTCCATTTTTTATGGAATAATTTTGTCTGTTTGTCGCCCAAACGAGATGACGTAATAAATCACTTAATTTGGACATTAAAAGTGCTCAGATTACTAAAGTATTTGGCCTTAATTAATTTGGATTTTTGCCCTTGCAGTTCTAACTTGAATTAAGACCATCTTAAGTGAATTTTCGACATTTAGTTTTGAAAAATATTTTAACTTAAATGAAAGCTGGTGGAATGTATGCCTTTGGGTGCATCACAGTATTGTCCCAATGGGTAATTAATTCTTGTTGCAGTTATTGATGAAGTGTAGAGTCCTGTTTTCAGAATGATTGCAGAAGTGTTCACCATTTCTTATCAAAGATCGCCAATCAGATTAAGTCTGAGGTTGTTTTTATTAATTTTTTTTCCATTCATAGTTCAAAGTCAAGCTAAAATACTTGACGAATTGAAGCGAACGTTTAAGCAGGTGCAAAAACAACTGCCAAATCTGATTTAACCTAGAAACACTTATCAGGAACTCGTTTAGACGCGTTTCCATATTTTGTAGAAATAATGCAAAGCAAATGAAATCTGACGTCTTATTTCTAATAACATCAGAATACCTACACAGTGCTGATTTAATTAAAAATCTTTTGAAGAACTGACAAAAGAACTTGTTTAAAAGAAATAAGTGAATGGTAACATCAAAAATTTAGATAATGGATAAGGTTTCAAAAGGAGCACAGAAAATGGCATTAAAAATTGACAAGCTCTACTTGAGCACGCACAGATGCTCTCGATTGATTCTATGACTCCTATTAAAAACTGTTATAAATTCGATTAGGGGTTGTTTGACAAGGTAGCATCTCATCCGCTTTACGGCGCTGAAGGCAATAAGGAACCGATGTGTGAGTCTGGAGATGTTCCCACAATTTATCTGACATTGGGCTTTTGCAGGCGTAGGACAATAAAGTGATCTAGTAAAGTCCGAAACCGTTCAGAGTTGCTTCACATTGGCATGACTCATGTCATGTTGATTGTTTTTGAGGCAGACTATTCAAATGGGTAATCGTAGATCTTGGTGCAGGAAACGGGTCTTGTTTTAATCCCTCTGTATCAGCACTAGACGTATTCAAATGCGTTACCACTAGCTGTAAATCATTTGTGGATTCTGTACTCAGATCTAGTTTTAGCAACATTTAACCTTTCTCGCCTCCTCACCTTTGTCTAATTTCATGCGTTTGAGTGGAGTAGTAGAGCATCAATGCAGGTGTTGATAAAAGTTAAAAGGATTGTTTCCCTACGGATATGGTAGGGCGCAAAAATCTGAAGGCAACAGTTTAAACTAATCTGCTTAGTAAAGAATGCTGACATCGCGCATACTGTGCCATTAAAGGCCGTAGATTTAGTCCAAAATACATTTATGTTTTGGAAATTTACTGCTACCATTATGGGAGAAATGAGGTTTGTTTAATTGCAAAACTCGTTATCCACACGCTGTATTTCAGCAGCATCCACAGTCTATGCTTCCGCTCTGACCACGCCTAGAACCAGCCTGCCAACCAGCCTTCTTCCATCATTCTATAAATTGCAAGGGTTTATGGGAAGACCCAAGGCCAAATAATATCTTTTGACCTATATATGCAGCTTTTCAGTCAAGTCGAACCAGTTAGTACCCAAATTGTCTAACTACATATGTAGAAGGATTTGTAAGTGAAGTAACGTAAAGAACATCACAAAATAGCCTAGGGACATTTTAAAAAAAGATACGATGGATGGGAAAGAGCCAATATCTCCCCATCTAACGGCGTAAACTTTCCCATATTCAAACCACAAACTTGCATTCCGATGCCAATCCCATGGAGCAAATGAGGCTTCTCTTAAATAGCCCTTATTTTTTAAATGTGGTCTTATGTTTGGCAAATGTGAAATTCCGCAGATGTGCAGCCAAGGAAGAAATGAAGGACTCTGGTAATGAGTGGTTGAAAGAAATTTAATTAGGGTACATGAATGCAAAAATATATCAATTGAAGCTTTCCATACACCAGTTTGTGACATCGTTAGGTTCACAGAGAGTCAGACTAACCAAAAGTTCATTCACCTCGATGAAGGGATATTTTTCAGTGATTATTACCCTATCATCTCCATGACAAATGACATTCACCTGATCACACACGTCACTTGAGTGGGAAGTATAGGCGGGACGGAGACAGACTCGTCCTCGTTTCCACTGCTTAATTCTGGAAATGGGATAGTTAATGAAGGTGGAACCTGTTGGGTCGTATCACCCCAAAAGGGATTACGAAGGTTGTGCATACTTATTAGGGCACTTTATGGGAGCAACAGATAAGACGATTGCTCCTTGCATTTGACTTTAAAAGCTAAGTGCGAAGTACTTCACTAGTCCAGAAAATGATTAGTGTGGTAAGTTAAAATACGTGGAAACTTTGGCTTTCTTAGCTGCTACATTTTCCAACTTGAAGATCGCTTTCACTTTACATGGTCAAATATGGAAGCAGAGACCTTAGAGATTTCTCGAGGATGACGGTAGTATACTTTAAAATAAAGTTGCTAATGAGGACGTTAAATGATTTACCAACTGCAAATTCAACCCTAGGTTCTTTCTTCTCAATTTTGTTCTCTTCTATGATCCTCTTACCACCCACTTTCCGCACCTTTAACATCCTAGCTGTTATGTAGCTAAGTAATGATTCTTCATTCACGCTGGGTTGCTTCTTTGTGCTCTCAGGAATAACCCCTAGGGCCTTACACATTATTCGGATCCTCACCATTCTTCATCAGAAAATCGCACTCCTGTGGAACACTTTAAAACTGGGGGAAATTGACTTTTCCTGATTACTGCCTCTCCTTTCCTTAGGATTTCTTTTAAGTGTATGGTCTATAATTGAATTTTTTGAGGTCATGATTGGCATTTCCCAAGTGCCTAATGACCAACACACCAAAATAAATGATTTTGATTATTAAAGCATTTAGTTTTTCTTCCAAAAAGTAGAAAAGAAACTAATAAATTTGCATCATTACTCATCATTTGATAGCTAATCGGTGATTTCACTTTATTCTCTACATATTTTTACTAGTTTGAAGTAGATAATAGATTTTTTAAAAATAGCTATTAATCTTCATTTCTTTTAAATTGGTCCTCAACTTAAAGTTCTAAAATGAGGGCTCCCTGACTGATACTGACGAAAATGAGGGAAA